CACACACACACACACACACACGGATGGATTGTGATTCAAAGACAGAATGAGCGGCTATAAAGCATAATGAAAGCTAATGGTTTTCCAATATGTCCCCTTGACAATGAGTCTGAGTGGGCTGAATTAGACGGGGGTTTTGTGTGTGTGTGTGTGTGTGTGTGTGTGTGTGTGTGTGTGTGTGTGTGTGTGTGTGTGTGTGTGTGTGTGTGTGTGGCCATCTAGCTCAACTCATACTTGGTCTTACAAACAATATCAGAATCTCACACATACACCATTAAACTCTTTTATACATATTGCTAAACACTTTTACACGCACAATCATACTCTCTTTCACACACTTTTGTCTGGGCCATAAATCAAACTTACTTACATACCAAACTGTATTTTCTTAGAACACTATTATTCCCAATTACATACAACACCATACTACAATATAATACTCTAGTAGTGTATGCAAGATAGAAAACTTTGTGTGTGGGAAAGAATGATAGTGTATGTGAGAGAGGAATTGTAGTATGTATGAGGGTATAGTAGTGTGTGTGAGAGAGGATGATGATAATAATCCTTACACTTACAGTCATTGCTTTCTGACGGACTTGACCCTTTTACTCTTCAGGGTTGCAATAGGGGAAAATTAGTAGTAGTCTACTGCCGTTGTGGGAGGTNTTACAGGGCCACGCCTTCCACAGATGAAATATTTGTATATATTTATTGTCTTTTAGTTTTTTCTTAACATCCCGATAGCAATGAACACATGAAATGCTTTGACAATAAATATATACAAATATTTCATCTGTGGAAGGCGTGGCCCTGTAAAAAGCTCGACCAATCAACTGAGCCGGCCCGGCTAAAGTAACTGGATGGCCTACCTGCCTGTCAGCCTTCCATCTGTGCACAAACTTATCTCGTGCCCTCATTGGTCATGTGCACATTCGTGTGTGTTGGAGGAGGGGCTCTGTAAGGAAGGGGCAGATTTTTTTTGGTTGTGTATTTTCAAATTCTAGCGCACTCAAGCTGGTTTCTCCATTCTTACCTACCCTACCTTAAGTACAGTACTTGAGTAAATGTACTTAGTTACTTTACACATGAACTAAAATAAATGAACTGTACACCATGACGTATTCTCTGGCACCTGAGCAAGGAAGTGAAGGGTCGGATGAGTCATCCTGTTGGGTTTCATTTAACAGTTGTGTTTTCATAGATACTTCATCTTGACTGTCCTATGGTTTCATTATTTCTTCAGATTGAATAGCATCCTGTGGCTGAACTTCACTAGGGGCCTTCCTACCATCCAGACGCCATCATGGCTGACGCAGTGAACGCCCTGCCCTTCTTCTATGGCAACATCACCAGGGAGGACGCGGAGGACTACCTGCAGCAGACGAGCACCAGCAACGGCTCCTACCTGCTGCGGCAGAGCAGGAACTACCTGGGGGGCTTCGCTCTGTCCGTGCTGCACTCCAGCCGCTGCTACCACTACACCATCGAACGAGAACCCAATGAAACGTTCGCCATCGCCGGAGGGAAGAGCCACAGGAGCCCCGAGGAGGTGATCGACTACCACTCGCAGGAGATGGATGGTCTGGTGTGTCTGCTGAAGAAGCCCTGCAACAGACCCAAGAACATGCAGCCCAAGGTGGGGCCGTTTGAGGACCTGAAGGAAAAACTGATCCGGGAGTATGTGAAGCAGACGTGGAATCTGGCGGTGAGTCGATACTCTTAGTCAACTCGTAGAAGGAAGGTCAGTGAGAATATCTAAGACAGGGGTGTCCAAACTACGGCCCGGGGACAATTGAGGCCCATTGTCCATTTTGAATTGGCCCTCATCAAATTCAAAAAGTATAATGGAATACGGCCCACAAATGAAACTTGTGCTTGTCTTATATTGTAGTTCTTAAATATACATTTAAAATATATTACAAAGTAGTATTCATGTGTTAATAAGACCACTTTTCAAATAAATTCAGTCGATTAAAGTTGGAAACATTTTCTAACATATCTTAGTTGATAAGAAAAAAGCCCAATTACTTATTTGTGTGTGTGTGTGTGTGTGTGTGTGTGTGTGTGTGTGTGTGTGTGTGTGTGTGTGTGTGTGTGTGTGTGTGTGTGTGTGCGTGCGCAGGGATCAGCTCTGGAGCAGGCCATCATCAGCCAGAGGCCTCAGCTGGAGAAGCTCATCTCCACCACGGCCCACGAGAAGATGCCCTGGTTCCATGGATCGATCACACGAGAAGACTCGGAGCCCCGGCTGCAGAGTGGCCTCAGGGTGAATGGAAAGTTCCTGTGAGTATTTAACAAGTGTGTTTCTTTTGTTTTGGTGGCGTTTAGAGTAAATGGCTGGATATTACATTTGATCGAAGAGTGATGCATGGAATGAGTCCTAAAACCGGGAAATTAGTAAGCCTTTTACCGAGTTAGCATTTCCTCATGTCTCAAGGTCAAAGTTTTTTTGGTTACAAGTCTGAAATAAGGTCTGTGTTGAATAAAGCTCAAGAGGTGTTCACATTTTCTTCTACATCATAAACTATATCACTAAATACCCCAGCAGTGAATTTCAAAATTATAGTTGTATAGTTAATTAATAATTAAAATAGCTAAATGCCCAACATTAGCCATCTTTAGCTTAGCGATGGTCCAATGGAAAAATCCCATTACTTTTTGTCCGCGGAGCACTCCATTTTTCCTTCTGGGTCGGCCTACAATGTGTCATCAAAGCAGCGGTTGCTAACAAGAAGCTAAATAAGACTACTAGAAGTCATCACGCCGAACATTAGCCGCCTTTAGCTTAGCGGTGGAGATGCGCTACCAATGCGTCTGTGATATAGTTTGTTTATAGCCTAATGCTTGTATACTTCTGGCAAAAATCATAGAAGTGGTGTTATTATGTAAGGGTTATCCTTCTGAAAGAGGGGGCTCTTCAGTCTAGAACTTCTTGGTCGGCCCACGATGTGTCATCAAAACAGCGGTTGCTAACCATTGTCTGGATGGGACGTCATCACGCTGATCATTAGCCGCCTTTAGCTTAGCGAGGATGACGCATAGCCATGTGACCGTGATATTTTAGGCTTCAAAAGTCACTGGGGGTCCTTTTCACTTCGGTTAAATGGATTCCTTGCGTCCCTCACTTGCGTCGTTTCCCTGTGACTAGTCCCTCCCACCAGGGAAGCGTGGAGAGATGCAAGGAAACCACGAGAAGCAGGGAAATGAGTTTTAAGAGCAATGGGACGTCCTTTCCTCCGGAGCGCCACGTGAAGCGACGTCGGTTTGTGATGACGCTGCACAGCAGATCGTCTGACAGCAGCCAGCTCTGTCCCCGTTATTTCCACACACACCCCCGCCTCTGTTAGTACACATTTACTGACACAAACATTTGTATCATCTTTGGTAGACCCAAATAAATAAAATAAAATAAGAACTAATTCTCAAAAAAGATAAACGCCATTCTTAAAATGTATAAACGAACATTAGTTTGATTAATATTGATTAGAGTGCACAAAATAAATAAAATAATTCAGAGAAGAAAAAGAGATATGTTATATATCAAAACCCAGTTAGATTAACATTCACTGGATTGCACACTTTGTTTGTTTGTTTGTTTGGATATGTAGCAAATTAACATTTTGATAGCACTTAATGACTGACTGAATGGAAATGACAATAAATGAAAATGTAAAATGAAAAAAGTGATCATGAAAATGTTTCCAATATATGAATAAAATTTGACCACTTTGTTGTTCAGATATATCACTTATTTGTAACTAAATGATACATTAATTGACACAAAACACAGTATAAACTGAGGAGTGACTCCTGTGAGGTTCATGTATTTTTCTTCACTTCCGCTGGGAAACCTGCTACTCATGTCAAGAAGCATACAGATCAAGTGCTATGCGCTGCATCGTCCAATCAGTGAGCGATACACAGTAAGGGGCTGGGCGAGTGTCTGAGGATGTCTGCGGGCTATTAACCCTCTCGATATAGACTCCTTGGTAGTCTGGT